ATATATATATATATAGTTCAGGCAGCTTTATGACGTCTCTGCTTGCAATAAACAACAATGAAGTGTATTTACTGTTATATTTTATTAATATTAACAGTGCAGATCTAATATTGAGCTGGTCTCACTGTTTATACAAGACCTGATAGAAAGTCTAGTGGGCAACCTGATTGTGATTATCACTATTTACTTGAACATTGTGATCTTATGTTGGCTCAAAGACAAATACACACCTGCTGTGCAATGAGCAGCCTCTTATTATTACAAAGTTAATAATTGCCATTCGTATTGTTTGTTCTTTTGTTTTCATTGAGTCAAACACACTCAGTCTGATAAGCCGTYATTAAGCTCGACTCGAGGTGCTGAGCTGAAGCTGATTTTTAACATTTTTTTCAGATGTTCCAGATAATGAAAAGAAGGATGCATTGAACATCAGATGCATCCTCCAAAGATCCTTACAACAGGATAGAAGGAACAAAGCATTCTGTGGACATGCCTGCTTTGACCAAAATACAACCACTAGAGGGCAGTGTGAACTAACTTTCACTCTACTTGAGTAGAGTCAGTCGTTTACAACCATCCAWCTGTTCATATTTTTTATAAACATGACAACATATTTTGAACTATGTTGAAAAATGAGTCAAAAACAAATAAATTTTCAGAAATAACTTAAATGATGAGATTTATATCCATAACTCTTACCTCTAAAATGAATCAGTCATTAAGGAAAGACTGTTTTAAAAGCAGTTGCTGAAAGAAAAAAATATAACTTTATTATTATTTGAAAGTGCTTTTATTAGATTAGACAAAGGTGAAATAACTGTATTTTTTATCTACATGGAATTCCAGTTCAAAGAYCAGGYAGAGCAAAGGAAGAACATTTGGAAYACAAAAATTTTACYTTTCCAAAGTCAAAAAGTTACATTTTGTAAAATTGTCTCTGCCAGCCAAATGGCATTAATCTGATGTCTTTTTCTTGTCCAGGGAAGATGAGAGCATTTTAATAACTCTGATTTTATATGAGTGAGTGGGGTGTAAGGTGGGAGGTGTGAAGCAAATTAAAAATAAGATTTGTTTTCCCCTGCTTTTTCCACAAACATGAAATACATAATTTAAAAAAAAACAATCTCAGTGAGTGTACAATACAGGCTGGTGTCAAATTGCATGTTCTAATTGTCTTCAGCAGACCTGAACAAAACAACAGTTGTGAAGGATGTTTTTCATTTTGCAYTGAGAACAGAAGTTAGCAAGGAATGAAAACAACGGGAAAGTTAAGGGTCAGAGGGAGCCTGAAGGGTGATTTAGAATGACTAACACGCATGTTTTTGGATTGTAGGAGGAAGTCAGGCTTTCTGCAGAAAACCACATGTGCAGTGAGAACATGGCAAGTCCACAAACCCTCCCAGAGCCTTCACGCTGTGAGACAACAGCACTTATTAACTGCACCAGTTTTAGTGATTGACAGCTGAACAAATGGTTTTGCAGGTTTTTCAGCATTGATCAGAAACAACCAGGGCTGCATAAAAGCATGCAATTGGGGTAAATCTAAAAATCTATTTTTTTTATTGTATTTTCCACATGACACTACCACCACTGTGGGCTTTGGCATCTTACTGCCATCTAAGTTAAGTGTGGGCATCTGAGACCAGTGGTGGACAAAATACTGTATGCAAACTACATAAATAGCCAAAAAAAAAAAAAGGTAGCTAGTAACTAAAGCCTTATTATAGTGGAGTAAAAAAGCAGAGGCAGTACTAGRGGCGGGGCCACAGGGGCATAGCCCCCAGCTGAAATCTGAAACAAAATCACAACTGTACATTCACATTTTAAGATTTAGTGCGCAGCTATGAAGCAGCACTTTCAATTTCACCTCAACGTTTTGTCTTTTGTAAAGTGTTTTCCACATAAACTTRCTTGAAATGAAAATGTGTTTCTGCACATGTAAATGGCATGGTCTCATGCATATATATTTTTTGTGTGTGTGGGCTGAGGTGTTGGCTCTCCCACTGATTCTACCACTTCTCATCTTCTCGTGCACAGATAACTGCTGAGGATATAAAGATCCAGGAGCTGGTTCCTCTGAGCGCGCTCAGTGTGTGTGAGGGGCTCGTAGGCAGAACATCATGTGGGAGGAAACACAGTGTTGCTGCAGCGTTCAGTGGAGCTGCTGTCTGCGACCGACACCAGTTGTTTTCATATCGACGGTGAACATATAGTTAGGAGAGGACRCATTCTGGGGCTTCTCAGATAAATGCATCAGGGAACCTGTAATTAAAATAAAATTGGATTAAATTATTTATTGTTAAAGTTCAATTAAAGAGGAGTAGCTGTTGTTCAGTTCTTACCTCTCTTTTTTTGTTGTTGTTGAAAATGTGCTTCACTATGGCAACAATATTTTTCTCATGTAAGTGTGATTTTTTTTTTATTAAAATGTAGAAATGTTTCCAAATCACCATGGAAACTGTATAAAGTTTTTCTGATTATTTTTACACCTCTTCCTTGGCAAGAAATGCGGTGTTGTTACAAATTAGAAAAATAAAATACTGTTGCCCATGTGTTCTTGGTTTTTCACTCTCATCAGCTTGATTTAGTTGTRGTGCTCATGATTTAAAATGTTGTGTAAAAGGTTTCGGGGTTACATTTGATGTGAGACGACACAAACAACTCGACAGTGCTGCGTTTAAAGCAGACATTATGTTAGCGTCTTATTCAGTGTTGTTCAAAACCACAGATTCTTTCCATTTCTGATTCAATTAAAACTTGAGCTGTTATCAGTGATACTGATGCAATAACTGATACACCTTATGTGCCTGGTAAATTAAAAAATGTGATTTCAAATCACCACTTCATAAAGAATACAAGACATGAGAATTATTTATTTATTTATTTATTTTAAWCTCAGACGTGTCATCATCAGTGGTCACTTGAAGTTGAGTAAGACTGTCGTCCGTCTTGTCCTTGAGCGCAAAAATAAAAAAAAAGGCCAATCCTGGAGTTGCATAATTTTGTGCAGTGTGGACATGGGTGGGTGTGGTTTGAAGTTTGGATTTTTTGGTGGTGATTACAGTATATCCTTCCAGTGTCTGTAATTGTCTACTCCTGCATTGTAGAAGTTGCTGTTATACAGTGCAGCACCCCCACAGACCAGTCTTCACCAGACCCCCCTGTTRGTTGCTGTTACCTCCCAGTTCTTAAAAGCAATAGGACATTTTTTGATGTTTGTCTTGATGCTGTTCTTATACCTTCTCTTTTGACTTGCCAGAGCATGTTTTCCAAGACAAATTGAGAATTAAGCACTTGCTTTGAGAGGTGTCATACCTGGCATACATATTTACCTTTTCCTTACGAATGTCTCTGGTGCCCACCAGGCTGACATCGTAAATAAGAAGTTCTTCTTAATGTTTTGCCTGGTTAAATAAAGGTTAAAAAAATAAAATAAATACAGAATATTATTAGGATTATGTGACCTGTCCATCAAAGCTGGTGATGGGCTATGATGGCAGTGTTTATGGGAATGCTAGCTTCTCAGGACGCTGACGTTTGTGCGTCGGTCCACCCAGGTGATTCTGAATTTTGCAGAGGCACCACTATGTGCACATTGTGAATTAAACTCTAAACTTTCTCTCGTGTCAATTCTCTGCAACAGCATTAAATATAGTTGCTGCCTTTCCCTTGATGTGACATGTTCACTGTATTTATTTTTGCCTTCWTTTGCTGACTCACCACTTTGATCCACAGTAACCTAAAGAATCATCGGTCAGTATAAGAAAATGTCAAMGTGAAATTGTATTGAATTTATGTATTTTAACATCTGAAGTGCACAAAGACCAAAACAGGAAAACCCTGTGATTCTCCATYAAGSTCCYAACTTGAAATGCTTATAAAAACGTGTCTCAACAGATCAGCTCAGGAGTACTTTAATGTTTATTGAATAAGTAGGGAGCTCTGCACTGAGACACTGCCAAGTTCTTATAGGCTTTATCTGATCTTAGATGGACAGTAAGGCAGAGGGCGTGTCCCATATGGACCTGAGTGTTTTCTGATTTTTTTTATGTCGTTGATGTGACAGACAAAATGGGCTGACATCAGTAAACAATGCAGCAGGATTTTGATATGAGTGTGGGTTTCAGTGTCATTGAAGATTTTCATTTGTGTCAAARCTGATCAAAGGGTCAAATTTTGGAGAGACATGGTCTTTGTTTATTGAAACTACATTATTTGAAATTATGATTCTTCTTCATTGCTCTCTAATAGTGATTAAACATAATCTAAAGCAATTCTCTACAGTCTGTGTTGTTATGTATTGTAGCAATGCCTGGTTCAAGTTCAGACATTCCTCTTTGACATCACTTCCTGTCACTTCACATATAAATATCTCAACAACTGTTCATCTCAGCGATATTGTTTTTTCCCCAATKGTATTAATGTTTTCTTTACAAAAATGCTTTCATCCTTATTTTTATTTATTCATCTCTTTTTTTACAAAACGAAAAAGAACGAAACCATTTTTGGAAAGAAAACATTAATAACA